CCCCATGTGGCCATGTGACCCACATCAAAATACTCCACCTGTTACAGGTCGGGTTCCAATATTTTTTGCACCACTGGTAATTTTGAAAAAAAAAAAAAATGTATTAACTAGAGATTTTTTTCCTCCACTAAAATATTTACCAGATTAATGATGAATTTAGTTTAAGGTTGTTTTTCTTTTTTATTCACGCTGAATGCCAATAATGTGACCGGCTCGATGTAAGATGCCACCATGTGCTGTTGGTTCTCAGGGTTGTTTATAAAGAAACCCTTGAAACATTGTGACGTGTGGTTTATTTGGGTTGAGTAAAGATAACTAATGGATGTTAGTAGTTAACGCATGTATTTTTTATATGTGATTTAACCAGCTGCTAGTTGCATCTCTCTTGGATTCTCGTCTCCTCCTGCGCTTGCGTTCCTCCGTTGTAGCAGAAGGAAAAGTGGGCGTGTTGTTGCCTTTGAGGCAGCAGCAGAGGCAGGCGGAGGTGACTGGAAAGGATATATTTGACAAGCCGTGGCTTTGCGTAAGGGTTTGTTTGGGGTGAGTAAAGAAAGTCAACTCCTTTTTTAACTGCAACGTGTCCTTTGAGTACAAACAGCGTTTTAAAAAAACAATTTAAAAAAAAAATCACCGATAGACTAAAACGGAGGGTGGGGGAGGGACTGCTTCTCCTCGCTCCATCTCACATTACCGAGCTATAGTGGAGTGGCGAGGTCAGCACAGCTCCAGCTGCGACACGTGAACCTGCCTCCAAATCCAAATGTGATCAAACGCCTCACACCCCTGCGTCGCAACTTTATTCCTCCCCCAGAAGCCCCTTTTTTACGTACGAGGCCACGACCACGAGAGCGCAGCTGCGCGTGTAGCCGAGTGGACTCAGGATGAGGCTGGGCGGCGTGGCCCAGCTACGTCCAGCCAGTCGGTCGGTGTTGTGAGTGGCAGCGGCAGCTGTGGAACGTGGAGGAAGAAAATCCTCTCATGGGACTTCCCGGTCCTGAAGCGCCTGATCCGGAGGCAACGTGAGGTAGCGTGCGAGCCTCCAGAACACGGAGCGGATACCAGCGGGTTCCGACTGGGAAAGACGAACCCGTCTTTGAGCCGAGCGCACAGAGGACCCCCGGACCTGAGGGCTGTGGGTACATAGCATGGGAGTGCAATGTTGTCCAGGAAGGGACTCATTCCTGAGGATTACTTGCTGACACGACTAGCTGAGGATGTTCTGCAGCCGACGTTCAAGGCCAAACAAGGGAAGGCTCGGTTTGTGGGAAAAAATGGCACCTGCAACGTCGCGCACACCAACATCCGAGAGCAGGGTCGGTTCTTACAGGACGTGTTCACGACGCTAGTGGATTTAAAATGGCTCCACACTCTCATCATTTTCACCATGTCCTTCCTATGCAGCTGGCTCCTGTTCGGGATGATCTGGTGGCTTGTGGCTTTTGCGCACGGAGACCTGGGTGAGACGGGGGATGATTTTGTCCCGTGCGTAACGGACATCCACTCCTTCTCCTCCGCCTTCCTCTTCTCCATAGAAGTCCAGGTGACCATCGGCTTCGGGGGTCGGATGATCACGGAGGAGTGCGTCTCGGCCATCATCATCCTCATAGTGCAGAACATCGTGGGACTGGTCATCAACGCCATCATGCTGGGCTGCATCTTCATGAAAACTGCGCAGGCCCACCGGCGCGCGGAGACGCTCATCTTCAGCAAGCACGCAGTCATCTCCCTCCGAAACAGCAAGCTGTGTTTTATGATCCGCATCGGGGACCTGAGGAAAAGCATGATCATCAGCGCCACTGTGCGGATGCAGGTGGTGAGGAGGAGCACCACAGAGGAGGGAGAGGTGGTGCCCCTTGACCAGATCGACATCCACATGGATAACCCGGTGGGGACCAACGGCGTCTTCCTGGTGTCCCCCCTCATCATCTGCCATGTCATCGACAAGTCCAGCCCCCTGTACGAGCTTTCACCGAACGACCTGCAGCACCAGGACCTGGAGGTGATCGTGGTGCTGGAGGGGGTGGTGGAGACCACCGGCATCACCACGCAGGCCAGGACTTCCTACGTGTCGGAGGAGATCCTGTGGGGCCAGCGCTTCGTGCCGACGGTGTCCGAAGACGACGGCATGTACGCAGTGGACTACTCCAAGTTTGGAAACACCGTCAAGGTACCGACGCCGTGCTGCAGCGCCAAGAAGCTGGAAGAGGCCGGTGGCGTCGCGCGGTTCAAGCTGAACGAGGGCGTCACCATGCGGCCGTCCGTGAGAAGGCGGAGGGGGGCCGCGATGGTGCGCAGGTCCAGGATGGAGAACAAGTGAGGCGTTCTGCTTAAAACTGAGCCGCTTCACTTTCAGTATCATAAATAAAAAATCATATTTATTTTACATTTGCGCGCACATGCACACATAAACCTGTGTTTACCTCAGGATCAGAGAGACAAAGCACTGAAATAATTCTGACTGTTGGAATAGTTCAGAATTTCAAACTTGGCGTTCTGTGAAAAGGTTACAAGTAGTAAATGACCTATTTATCTTTAATAAATGATCCTCAGTCCCTCCTTATTTATTATGAATCCAGAGTGATTATCTGAGAGGAAACATTAAACTCTACCACCTCTAGTCTCAACCCTGTTTTAATGTGGCTTTAATTAATTTATTTATTTTTATTACCAAAGCCCTACACAAAAATATCGTATATGCTGCATCAGTGTCATGACTTCAAATAATAATTATTTTACCATCATTTCATGATTGATCTCTATGACAAAGAAGACAAAGCAAGCAGATTTCTGTGAATTTGAAAGCATTAGGATTTACCAAGGATGACCACCAAAATAACTACAAAGTATGAAAACCAAAGTACCCAACATTTATCTGAGAGGAGAAAGATGGGAAGGGTTTCAAAGTCTGAGAAAGACATTCGTTCTTTCAGCTTTCAACACCAGAGCTGCCAAGGACAGAAATAGAAACTAGAAACGGTGCCTTACCTTTGTCAGATGTTATTTTTCCCTCTCGGTTGAGGACCAGAAGGCTTTCTCTTACCTGTCTTTCTGAACAGGTAAACAGTTCTGGGCTTTTCAATATTCTCACTCTGGATTTGGGACTAGGTTGGATGTGCATGAAGAAGTGCTTAAAGAAAGTTAATAAGTGGCCAAAGTTACAAAACCTCGTTGAGAGAAAAAAACACAACAAAGAACTTTCAACAAAACTAAATCAACAAAATCTGACCGGGTCAGACAAAAGCCCGACGCGGTCGAATAAAGGGTTTGACTTTTTGCCGCTTACATGTTTTAAAGATTAAATACATAGTCGTGAGAAAAATCTCAAAATGTGGATAAGAAATGTAAAATTACGGAAGAGGATTGGGGCCTCTGGAAAAAAAAGTAAAACAGCTCTGACTTTAACCTCAGAATTCTGAAAAAAAAAATCAGAATTCTGAGAAAAAAGTCAGATTCTTTTTTCTTTTTTCCAGTGGCAATAATCCTCTTCCGTATAAATTGTACTTCAAGAATAATGTTGAAAAAAAATCTGTAGTTTGCAGTCAGACATAGTAATGTGGAAGAGGAGGTATGAATTAGGCCTAAATTTGCCTTCATTCCTGGATCCGTATATTTCCTGGAGAGGAGGCATCAATAGATAGATTAGTCCATTAGAGGCAGAGTTGTGGTGAGTTTATGTAAAAAATAAATACAAATAAAAAGAAATTTATATATATATAAGTTTCAACCATCAACAATCAATCTATTGAACAGTTATTCTAATATCTGATATGCTTGATTAAAATGTTATCAAACTTAGAAAACAGTTTGAGTACTTTGGTACTGTATGTAGGTACAGAACAAGAGTATAAATTGGCAAATGGAGGAAATAACTTTGACCCAATTAAGTCATAATGTTTCTATTCCTGATAAGAAATTTACTTTGTTAACCTTTTAACAAAACCCCACTTCAAAACTTCTGAGCTAACGGTTTAAATGTGAGCCCTGGTATCCAGAGTGCAATGTTTTTGTTTGTTTTTTAAATCTGAGTGATTGCATGTGTTTTAAATTATTAGAAAGGAAGATGCTTAACTTAAAAAGAATGTTGTACATGGCCTTGCTGAAAATGACATTAAAGTAAAGCTGTTTTCATGTACTCCATTTTTTTTCTCATCTTTCTTTGCTTGAATACAATCATGAACAATATTTGAAATATTATCGATCATCATATATACAAGTATTTTCAACATTATGGTAATAGTTTTACTCAAATAAGAAAGTACCAGCCCTGGAGGCAGAACTGGCCTGAGGTAAAGCAAACCAAGCAGCTATTTGGCCCCTCAGACCTTCTGGGGCCCCATAAAGACTTAAATTTTAATACAGACTTAACAATAACTAGTTAGATATGTTTCAACATTTCAACATTTGTTTGAGGATGAGAATGCTATTCAATTTAACAGTTTCAGCATAAATTAATTAGATTTCAAATAGTTTAACATTTAAATTTAAAGTTTTAAGGAATTGGCAAGTTTACTTTCTAAAAGTAAAAAAGAAAAAAATTCTCATAGTTTGACTGTTGTGTTGCCATAGCTACAATCTGATGCCGAGTTTAGTCTTTTGTTTGAGCTCAGTTTGTGAACAAACACATCTCAGTGGTAATCAGTTATCACAGATGGCTTTTAAGCTTGGCTATTTCACTTATTTTAATTTCCTGTACCTAACCAGGTTAAAACTCCACTGAGACGTCGCTGTCCTTTACAAGCAGGACCCGCGCAGAAAATCTGCAGCGCATATACAGATGTTTATACAGAACATGGCTGCACAATTAAACTTAAATTCCCGATTTCACCAAATCTATACTGAAACCCCGTTAGTGATGATGTTCTCAACAGGAAGAGGAGTCCTAATTTATTTCTGCTTAAGGAACCTTAGCCGGCCATGCTAAGGCTGTGTGCGTTACTGATGACGTGCCACTAGAGGGAGCTATTCCACCGTCTGAAGTCTATCTGATAATTGCTGTCGATGCGTTTTGTGATAAGGAACTTTTCTCCCTTAATTATTGCAGACAAGCTGAATCATGTGAACATTTATAGAAAGTAAAATGAAGTTGGCAGTTTTGGTCCTCCATAGACTTATTGTCTGACTTCACATTAAACTAAAATCTTAAAGAGATTAAGATTTAATCTTATAATTGTGTTGGAAGTTTGATGTTTATTTAATTAAAAAAAAAAGTCAAAGGATTTTGATAAATATAGATGAACTGGCCTGATAAATTATAAGTCAGTATTTAAGTATAATACAAAAGTTTAACTTTTATTTAATGTCAATGTACTCATCGGCCACTTTATTAGGCATAGTGTGACGATAAGGCTGCATTTTACCCAGTTTTCCCAAACAGGACCGCTTAATTCGTCATGGCAACAAGTTTTAGAGACATTCAAAGATTCTGGTCCATATTAGTGCATCATTTGATAGAATATATATAATATGCATCATACTTTAGAACTATTATACACTTAAATCCCTTATTTTTCCTGATCATGTAGGAAGCCCAACCTGAGCCAGTGAAATGTAGTAAATGATATAAGGTCATATTTTAATGTTAATTTTTTTAATAAACCTACATTTTTCACAGTTGAAATATTTAAATGGTTACAAACCTCTGCTAGTCATTTCACACACTAAACCTGTTAAAAGTTTTGGATTAATAAGAGACAGACACAGGTGGCATTTCTCTCTTTTATTAGATTATAATCCGCAGAGCTTAAAATATTAAATTGCTTTTAACTTAGTTAATAATTAAAATACATAAAAATGAGCCAGAACTGAGGAACCCTGCAAAAAATGAGAGAGAAATTTAAAAATAAATAAAAATGGAGAATTATAAATTCAATCCTCCTCCATACAGAGGCTATATCTGACAGAACCCGCTTGTGATTCTTTGTACAGTAAAGTCCAAGCAGACTTTGCATGTTCTATACCCAAACTAATTTTCCTCTGATAATCTTTTATTTTCCTCTTAAAAAAAGAAAGAAAAAAGTAAATTTAAAGGGCGAGGCAAAAAATAAAAATAAAAGCTATGTTTTTTTTCATTTCTGAGCTGGAAGCACAGGTGAGTGTTTACGCAGCAGAGCAGCTTTGCGCCGTAACTCCCACCCCTCCTCCCGTCTCCACGCCCGCCCCTCTGAGCCTGCAGACATGACCTCATGTCTTTGTCCTCCTGTGCTGCCGGAGTGGGTGGTGCGGCCGTGCTCGACACCAACACGCAGCTGTGAATCGCCCGGTGTGGGCGCCCAGTCTGCCTCGAAGTATCCGCTCTATGAGAAGGTTAAACATCTAGCGTACAATCTTTAGATTTGCCCCTTTGTCTGCATGTTTGCTGCCCCCTACAGGTGCGCTGTGGGACATGTTTGTGGGGGGATTATGCGAGCACAGTGCAGTTAAATATGATCAACATTTGTCATATGAGGCAGTCTAGTGAAAGGGACAGAATGAAATCGAGAGGCTCCTCTCTGGCAGCAGTGACTGATTCTTTCAGATCCTGAGTAGGAAGCGCCTTAATTATCCCCTGCCCCCCACCCGCTCCAGATAAAGAACCCAAACAGTGATTGGCTAGCATTGCCCCTACAGGCGGTAACATGGCTGCCTCCTGGCCGTTGCAGCGCTACCCCCCCACCATCGCCGGAGCAGGGAGGGGGGGAGACGAGCCTGAGGGTGAGCAGAGGCGCCGCTTCTCCACACATCTACAACACTGTACACATAGCAGGTCGAAGCAAAGCAGAGCCCCGGCCCCCACCCCTTCCTGTACTGTATGCTAGGTAGAGGACAGATGGAGGTGGATAGAAACACTGCACCCCGCTCCAACAACAACAAAACAAAACCGAGTAAAACTTTCAACAAAAAAAAAAAAATAAAAGAGGAAAATAAAAACCAAAAAAATAAAATATACACATTTTTTTCTTTTGTTCCTAGTTTAGATTGCAGAGAAGATGGGAGGGATTTGTCCCTGGGAGGAATGCTCACGCCATTTCCTGCTGGCGTGACAAACCCCTCCCCGCAACCCCCAACACCCCCACATGAAACCCTCCCAGGCCTTTTCCTCCCGGCTGGTCGGTCGGTCGGTCGGTGGTGGAGCGAAACATTAGGGTGGTGGAAGGTTTCGTAAGTCCTGCCTGCACCGAGGAAGGGGACTGGGTTGTTTGTTTTCCCTTCTCTCCTCTCAGATCTTTCATCATCCCCCAGGGCCGCCATCTCGCCGCCGCCACCGCTGCTCATCTCTCCGTCACGTGGTTCTGTGAAGACGGGGAGGGGGCCGGTGCCGGGGCGGAGGGGGCTGGGGCGGGAACGGGACTGCAGAGGATTTCGGACAAGTCGTCCATGATACAGGTCTCCTTAGGGTCGATCAGGTTGAATTCCCTTACGAAAACGATGAAATGTGCATACAGAGTGTTCAAGTGGCCGTGCAGGTCCAGAGCCACCGTCTCCTTAAAGTGCGCCCAGTAGAGGTGAGCCAGCACGTGGAACAGGTACCGGCAGATCTTCTTCACCAAGGACTCAAACGAGTTGGGGAACTCTTTGCCT